GTCAGTCCTGCTCAGGATGCTGAGATAGCCCTCTGTCAGTCCTGCTCAGGGTGCTGAGATAGCCCGCCGTCAGTCCTGCTCAGGGTGCTGAGATAGCCCGCCACCAGTCCTGCTCAGGGTGCTGAGATAGCCCTCAGTCAGTCCCGCTCAGGGTGCTGAGATAGCCCTCTGTCAGTCCTGCTCAGGGTGCTGAGATAGCCCGCCGTCAGTCCTGCTCAGGGTGCTGAGATAGCCCGCCGCCAGTCCTGCTCAGGGTGCTGCCATAGCCCTCCGTCAGTCCTGGTTGCCTAGGTTTTGGACATAGCAATGGTGATTACCTCTCTTTGACAAATGCTCACATAGAGAATGACTATGACACCAGAGGAGCAGCTGTTCTGTTGGAAAGTGACCTGGTCACAGTCACACTGTAGCTGTTTTCCAGTGGGCTTTCTTAATAGGAACCCTGCTGTGGCACTATAGGATAAGCACTGAACTGTGAACCACAAGGTTGGTGGTTCAAACCCACCAGCTGCTCTGGGAAACGCTATACAGGATTGCTATGAGTCGGAACTGACTGCGTGGCGCACACAGCAATGACCGCTCTCTGATGGTGGGCCGAGCATAGTTGAAACAGCTTTTAACAGCCATGTTGGCATGTCCACACTGCAGAATGTCCGTCTTCTGGGTAAAGGGCCACCTCTGCTGTAAGAAGTGTTGACAGAGCTTTTCTTTCTGTCTGCAGGTCTTATCCAGCCTATTCCAAGAAACCAGATTTTTCAAAATTATTTCAATAATAATTTTGTCAATGAAGCAGAAAGACCATATAAGTGCTTTTATTGTCATCGAGCATATAAAAAGTCATGCCACCTTAAACAGCACATCAGGTAAGCGCATAGAGGTGCAGGTGAGATTCCTCCCATTTCAGCAATTCTAGGGGACTGGGGTGGCACTGTGGGCTAATGTGCTTAACTGCAAAGTCATATGAACCACAAGTTTGGTGGTTCAAGCTCAACGGCTGCTTCTCAGAAACCCAGTACAGGGTCACTGTGTGTCGGAACCGATTCAACAGCACTGAACAACAAGATTGTAGTGTTAGCTTTTGGTGTTTAAAGTGTCTCATTTGACCCCAGGGTTTTTATTAGTCTTTGATATTTTCACTCCTTAGTGTCTCAGCTAAACTTTTACCTGCATGTACATCCACCATCCTCCTACTTCAGCATCACGCCTGCTGCACTTCCAGGAAATAGCAAAGAAGTCTGTGGTGTCTTTGACCCAGGATTATGTTCTTAACAGTGGTTAAAGTGTAATCATCACAATTTAAATTTGTTCCTGGTGCCCAGTGCAACAGCGAGGAGACACTAGAAACGAGCGTGGGCAAAACAGTGTGCTGCTCCGGAGCCAAGTGTTCTGTGTCACTTATACCCTAGCATTTTGACTGACTTCAAGCCCGTCCTGAGCCTCCTGGGCCCACACTTGTCGTTTGTAGGCTATGGGAGGCCGTGTCTTTGCTCCTCGGAGGACAGCATATGAAAGGGTCCCGGGAATGCGTCTTGAGTCGTGTGTGGCTTAGCCAATGCTGTGTTCTCTTAGGTCGCACACAGGAGAGAAACCTTTCAAGTGCCCTCAGTGTGGTCGAGGCTTTGTATCCGCGGGCGTGCTCAAGGCGCACATCCGCACCCACACGGGCCTCAAGGCCTTCAAGTGTCTCATCTGCAGTGGCGCCTTTACCACCGGCGGCAGCCTGCGCCGCCACATGGGGATCCACAACAACTTGCGGCCCTACATGTGCCCCTACTGCCAGAAGACCTTCAAGACCTCCCTCAACTGCAAGAAGCATATGAAGACCCACAGGTAGGCCCAGGCAAGATGGGGCTGGGTGTGGGCGTCAGAGATCATGGTCTTTGACCTGTGTGATTTCTAGCTCAGGGCTGCTGGGCTACAAAGCCGTTTATGGAGCCGTGTGCAGAGTCAGGGGCCCTGCTGGTATAGAGGTTAGAGCACTGTGCTGTTAGCTCACGGTCAACAGCTGGAGCCCACTCGTCACTCCTCCTGACACAGACGGGCGGTTTGCTTCCGTAAAGACAGCACACAGCCCTGCAAGCTGGTGTGGCAGCTCGCTTCTGGCCACGTGGACTTGACGACAGTAGGCTTTGGTTTGGGGTGGGGGTTAAGGCTCTGAGACCCATTGGCTCATAAGTGGAGGAGCTGTCTCAGTAGGCCACCTGTGTGATGGGGTGTCTCCTCAGCTCGGCTTGCCCCAGTAAATGGGCACATGTGCCTGCTGTACCATTGTGCTAGGAGGTGACGGCCCACTGGCTCATCTGACGAGGGGCTCCAAGAGCAGTGCTGGAGTCCAGGCCTTTGTCTAAGTGATTGGCGGGTGGGTCACAGATAACCACGTCCACTCACCTCAGAAGCGGGGTCACAGGTCAGCATGCCAAAGCCCGATCACTAAAGCAGAAAAGGCACTCAGTCCACAGCTGAGCACAAGCCGCCGTGGGCCCCTGGTGGACGGTGGAGAAGACACATGAGCCTGGTCAATTCGCTGTGTTGTGATGGTGCCCAGCGAGGTGGCACCTCACAGCTGGTGTGTCCCTGCCTCTGACGGAGTCCTTCTCTGACAAGTGTATAGCTCATGCAGGGACCAGCTCTCACAGGCTTTGCTTTATCACCTAGTCATCCTTAATGGAAGTAGTTGAGAAAGGACCCCTTTTTGGAGCTGAGAACAAAGTTCTGAGTCGAACAGAACACAGGCTGCAGCTTGTGTGGCTGGCCCACCCGTGGAGAGCGAGCGTGTCTCCGCATGTTAGACCATTTCATTGTTGGAGAAAGTTTGTAAAGTGGTTGGGTTTGTTCATTTTTCTCCTCCAAAGACGGAGGACAGCCCTCGATGAGTAGCTATTGGGTCTGTTCTGTAGAACGTACTTTAGGACGTGACTGCCCAGTGAGCACCCCGCCTATGGGCCTGGGCTGAGCCCTTCCTTCCTGCACGCTGGCTGCCGTTGCTCATCCCACGTAAACCTGTCTGCAGACGCGCCGCCCGCCTCCAGCTATGCAGCCCTTTTTCAGAGCACTTTGGCTCGTTGCACAGTTTGGGGAGAATTTTATTTGCAAGCACACGGCATCTGTCTGACTTTCTGGACCTTTGAGGGGTGCACTGTGCCCCTGTTACTGGGGGAGCCCTGGAAGGGGCAGAGCTGTGAGAGTGTTTAGTTTTCAGCCTTGTTGTTGTTGTGAAGTGCCGTTGAGTCGGTTCCGACCCATAGCGACCCTGTGTAGGGTTTCCAAGGAGCGACTGGTGAGCTTGAACCACCAACCTTGCAGTTCAAACGGCTTTGCAGTCTGGCGCATTAACCCACAGCACCACACCAGGACTCTATTGCTATCTAAATGAAGGGGCTTAAGAACAAAGCAAGTTTCTTAACAGAAGGTGGCGCTCTCAGCAGACTTTTGTGCGGTGGCCCGGCGGGCGGTGTCTGATCTCGCGGGTCCCTGTTGGCATCAGGTACGAACTGGCCCAGCAGCTTGAGCAACATCAGCAAGCTGCCTCCATCGACGACAGCACCGTGGACCAGCAGGGCATCCACGTGTCTGCTCAGATGCACGTGGAGATTGAGAGTGATGCGCTGCCGCAGGCGCCCGAGGAGGTCACCACGAATCCCGAGGCCATCCTGGCGCTGGAGCCGCAGCACGTCGTGGGCACCGAGGAGTCTGCGCTCGGCCAGCCGCTGCCAGACCAGCCTCTGGATGCAGACGATGGTAAACGCACAGTCACAGAGCCCTGCACACGGGCGACAGCCATGCAGCTGTGTCCTGTCGCTGTTAAAGTCAGCGTCTGTGCTGTGTGAGTGTTGTGTGTGTGGAGTGTGCTGTGAGTGGTGTGTGGGGTGTGTGTGCTGTGTGTGTACTGTGTGCACGTGTGTTATGTGTGTTGTGTATGTCCACAATGCTCCGTACGGATGTCATCCTGTATCACACCCACCCCTCACTTACTGGCAGGGTTAAGTCCCAAAGACCAGGTTGTTATGTGAAAATACATTCTGTGATGTGGACGATGACCACATCAGATCACAAAATGAACAACGATGACATCACTTGTTGTTGAGTGCTATTGAGTCACTTCCAACTCCTGCTGAACCTGTGTAGGGTTTTTGAGGAGCAGCTGGTGAGCTTGAACCACCAACTTTTTATTTCAAACTGGCGTTGCAGCCCAGCGCGTTAGCCCGCAGCACCACACCAGGACTCCAAATGACATAACTACATACCTGCTAGATAAGCCATTATATAACTGCTAACCCACTGAGCAGCGTGGCCCAGCCAAGTTGACACGTAACCTTGACAGTCACAGCCCACGCTGCTCTTGCCTTGGACAAGTGCATTCCTTCCTGAACAGGTTGTGTGGTGTGTGGGGGTCCAGCAGGGCCAGCTCTGCATTCACGGGGGCTTCACAGATGAGGGGAACCCACCGATTCCACTGTGCACTGACGTTGTCTTTCCACAAAGCAGAGATTTGTTTTGAAAACTCCCAGACCTGAGCTGGCTTCCACGTTAACGAGGCTCCCTTTCTTGTTGCTTTCTCGTTTCCAGATCGGTTCGTGGCCCCTCAGCCTCCGCTGCCCGGGCACATGGAACCATTCGAACAGCAGACCCCTGCCCCGCAGGCCTTCGAGCCGGCAGCCTTGTCGCAAGGTCAGTGGGGGCTTTGGACGGACTTGTGTCCTGGATAAGTTGTACAGCTTGGAACAGAGAGCTCTCTGCATGCACAGTGTAGCTTTCTTGATTGGCACATTTGCCTTGTATTTGGTCATCTGCTCAGATTTGCTAGAGAGGGACCTGAACAACCACATGTAGCCCAACCCAAGGTCTCATGGGTTCATGCTGGGAAAGGTGGTACCTGGAAGTGTGGCTGCCCTGTAACCTGTGTTCAGCACACACTCGTCTGGCTGCAGATGACCCGTGAGTCAGCTGGGGAGGGCGGTGTCCACGGCTCCATCAGAGCAGGCGTGCTGGGGCCCTTCGGACGTTCTTAAGGCCAACCTGTGGATCTCTATGACGTGTTTGGTAGAAGTCACCCTTTCTCATCTCTCTCAGGCTTCACAGTGGCTGACACGTACAGTCAGCAGCCTCAGTTTCCCCCCGTCCAACAACTGCAGGACTCCAGCACTCTGGAATCTCAAGCCCTGTCGGCCAGCTTCCACCAGCAGACCCTGCTTCCTGTCCCTGGCTCGGATGCCATCAGTGTGGTGAGTGTGTGTGGAGAGTACCTCTTGCGCATGTGTGGGGTGCATCAAGTCATTGGCGATGTGCTTACTGACAGGGCAGCCCGCTTGTAGTTGTGAGCTGTCTGCATCTGTGCTAGACGTTAGACGTGGCTTTCTTTCCCTGAACTCTTTTCTTTGCTCTGTAACTTAAGGATTTCATGATCTTAATGTAGCTTTTCCCTCTTGGCTACAAGCTCAGGATTGGATAGTGTATAATGCAACGTGAAGGATGTCATCAACCTGTAGCTACAGACTTTGTACCTAAAGATTTTCAGAGTGAAAACTTCAAAGAGGTACGCTACAGTAAAAAGAGAATGAATGTTCACATCTGTCTCAGCTATCTAATAAATGTTTCTCTAAGCGAAACACCGTAAGTGGATGGCTTTAGTTTAGAAATTGAATCTCTCACAGTAGAGGAGGCTAGACCTCCAAGTATGAAATGCCATCTCTAGGTGAAGTCCTGCATTGTGTTCTCTGGACAAAGGCCTTTGTCTCCTCTCAGCAGCTTAGACCCAGCATTCCTTGGGGGTGTCTCTGCTTTGGTATCAATCCTCCCCTGGGTCTAGGAGCGTCACAATGCAGGGGCCCCAGGCCCAAAGGACAGACCTCACAACCAGCTTGGCTCTCTTGGTGGCAGTAGGTTCCTGTGTCTCTGTTCACTTCTCTCTCCATTTATATCTCAGTAGAGACTGACTCAGGAGCTCTGGTAGCGTAGTGGTTACGAATCGGGCTGCGAACCTTAGGGTCAGTGGTTCAAAACTACCAGCCGCTCTGCGGGAGAAAGATGAGGCTTTGTACTCCCGTAAAGATTTACACCGTCAGAAACCCTGTACAGAGTTGCTTTGGGTTGGAACTGACTCGACGGCACTTAACAACAACAACAGAGACTGACTCAAGATACAAGCTAGTCCTGGAGAGGAGAGCCACCTCAGTAACAGCATCGCAGTGAGGAGGACTTACAACACAGGATCATTAGATCAGAGATGGTTGTATGTGGTCGTATCCTGTTAGATCTCATCAAGGGGGGTGCATAAGGACACCTCAGCTGCTGAACCACTGATCATCCGGGCACAGCCAAGCTGACACAAAACCTTAACTTTCACAGTACATCCCGTGTCAGCTCAGCACCTGTATGTTGTTAATAAGTGCCTTGGAATCGGTTCCAACTCATGGTGATCCTGTGGAAGGTTTCCAAGGAGCAGCCGGTGCAGGTGGGTTTGAACCACCACCCTTGAAGTTAGTAGTCCAGTGCTTATCCTACAGTGCCACACCAGGCACCTGTGTTCCTCTCTTTAAGCCATACATAATCTCTTTATAAAGATAAGTATGGTACCTAACATGGAGTAACTAACATACAATCCAAAGCTCACTAACCCTTAGGGTCTCATTGTTAGACATTTCTAGTTCATAGCGACCTTATGCACAACATCTCACACACACACACACACACACACACTAAATATACACACCTCACACATACACACTCACAACAGAACACAATGCTGCCCAGTGCTGCGCCACCCTCACAGTCGTTAGCCTGAGCCCATTGCTTCTGTCACTGCGCCAGTCCATCTCTTGGGTGGTCTACTTCTTTATCATTGACCTTCCTCTTTACTAAGCATTATATCCTTTTGCTGACCCTCCAAGGAGTGGTCCTTCTGATAATATGGCCAAAGTATGAGTGTCCAAGTCTTGCCGTCTGGCTTCTAAGGAACACTCTTGTCTTCTCTTCTTCTAGCAGTCCATGGTACTGTCAATATCCGCCAGCTCCAGAACCCAGCATGCATCAGTTCTATGGTCTTCCAGATTCACTGTCCAGCTTTCACATGTACATGAGGCTACTGAAAATACCCTGGCTGGGGTGAGGTGCACCTCAAACTGATATCTTTGCTCTTGCGCACTTTAAAGAGGTCTGTGCAGCAGATCTCCTTTATGTAATACTGTATTTGAGTTTTTTGACTGCTGCTTCCATGAGGAGATCCAAGCAAAGTGAAGTCTTTGACAACTTCAATCTTTTATCCATTTATGACACTATTTATTTATTGGTCCAGTGGTGAGGATTTTTGCTTTGTTTATTGAGGTGTAACTCATACTGAAGGTTGTGGTCTCTGATCTTTATCAATGCTTTAAGGCCTCTATCCTTCCAGCAAGCCAGGTTGTATCATCTGCATATCACATGTTGTTAATGAGTCTTCCTCCAGTCCTGACACCAGGCTCTTCTTCATATAATCCAACTTGTTGCATTATTTGCTCAGCATAGAGATTGAATAAGTAAGGTGAAAGAATACAGCCCTGGTGCACACCTCTCCTAATTTTAAACCATTCAGTGTTCCCATGTTCTGTTTGAACAACTGCCTCTTGGTCTATGTGCAGGTTCTTCATGAGCACAATGAAGTGTTCCGGAATACTCATGCTTTACAATGTTGTCCATAGTTTGTCATGATCCACACAATCAGAAGCCTTTGTGTAGTCAGTAAAGCACAGGTGAGCATCTTTCTGGTATTCTCTGCTTTCAGCCACGATCCCTCTGATGTAGTAGTGATATCCTCCGTTCCACATCTTCGTCTGAATCCGACTTGAACCTCTGGTGTTCCCTGTCAGTGTACTGTTGTAGCCATTTAAAAATTACTTTAGCACAATTTTACTTAGAGCTGCTTTCAGTGGTATTGTCGGATGGTTTCCGCTTTCTGTTGGCCCACCTCTCTGCAATGAACACAAATACGGATCTCTTCCAATCACTGGGACAAGTACTGTCTTCCAAATTTGGGGCATAGATGAGTGAGTGCCTCCAATGCTGCATCATTTTGTTGAAAGATTTCAGTTTGTAGTCCATGAGTATCCAGAGACTTGTTCTTTGCTAATGCTTTCAGTGTACCTTAGACTTCTCCGTTAAGTACCATTGGTTCTTGATCATGTGCTACCTCTTGAAATGGTTGAACATCGACCATTTCTTTTTGGTACAGTGACTCTGTGTAGTCCTTCCATCCTCTTTTGATGGTTTTTGCATTGTTCAATGTTTGGTCTTTAGAATCCTTCAGTATTTCAAGTTGATGCTTGAATTTTTTTCTTCGGTTTTCTTAGCTTGAGAAGTATGGAGTGTGTTCTTCCCTTTGGTTTTCTAATTCCAGGTCTTTGCTCATTTCCTTATAGTATTTGACTTTGTCTTCTCCAGCTGCCCTTTGGAAAATTCTGTTCAGCTCTTTTATTTCCTCATTTCTTCCATTTGCTTTAGCATCTCTACGCTGGAGAGCAAGTTTCAGGGTCTCTTCTGACATCCATTTTGATCTTTTTCTACTTTTTTGTCTTCTTAATGACCTTTTTCTTTCTCTTTTTATGAAGTTCTTGGTGTCATCCCATAACTCTTCTATTCCCAATTCTTTTGATTCTAAGTTCCAACCTGGGACAAAATTCGTTTTTTATCTGTGACTGTAGAATACAAGTGATCTCCCTCTGTGTCTACTGGTGGAACAGGCAATAGGTAGACGTTTCCATTACAAACAGGTGCAGTTGGAGGGAAAGGGGATAATAGGTACCATGCAAGTTAACAGCCCAGTCGGACATGGACATTAGCTCTCCAGGCTGATGATAACCCTGTGTTCTCTGAGATCTAGACAGTGACTCTGCCCTCTGGGCTCAGGGTAGAGCCCCCTCTGAACTGGAGACTCTCCTGGCCTCGGTCTCATTCTTCTGGTCCATCTGAGTGGTCAGCCAGGGAGGACATCATGTTCTTGCCCCCTTGGACATGGAATCCCCTCCCCGCTCTGGGTGTCCATCTTAGAGGCAACCTCATACTCCAGAATGTAGTTGGTGAAGAAGGTCCCACTCTGTGGCGCCCCCCTGAGAACCCCCGGAGGTGGGGTCCTGCCTGCTGAGAGGACGGCGCCTCTGTACTCTGTGGTCATTGGTTCTTCAGCTTCTCCTTTCTGGTCTCAAGGAGAGGGGAGACTGGCCTCACTTCACCCCACTTGGCAGGAAGCTTGCTGGCTCTGGGGGTGAGCCTCATTCTGAGCTGTGTGTTCTGCTGTTCAGCACCACACTGTCTCGGGTGCTGTGACCTCCTGACCCTCACTGGGACCCTTTATCCGAGTCGCCCTGGACCTCCCTAATGCCACCTGCAGTGTCTTCTCGACAGTTAGACAGCCTAGTCCTCTTCCTGCCTCTGCTCGGTAACCGATTCCAGACTGTGTCCGGAACTTCGCTTCTGCTAGTGCCGCGCCCAGCTCCCAGTACCAGCCTCCATCCAACTTCTCTAATGCTGCTCGAGGAGAAACACCACCAGGGGACGGCGTGAGCTCTCAGAAATGGATTCGCTCACAATGTAGGAGGCTAGACGTTCAAATTCAGAGTGTCCACTCAACGGGAAGGCCTTCTGTCTGTTGCCTCTGGAGACAGGTCCTTGTCTCCTTTCAGCACCCATAGGTCCAGCATTCCTTGGAGAGCTCCCTGCATCGTGACCTCAATCCCCCGCTGAATGTAGGAGCAGCTTCATAGTGCAAGGAGCCCAGGCCCAAGGCGACACTCCTCCCGGCTCTTCTACCCAGGTTCTAGTTGGACCCTCCCTCTCTGTTCACTTCTCTTTGACGTCTCAGAAGAGATTGAGTCCTCCACCATTACAAAAGTGAGGACTCGCAGCACACGGACAATCACATCAGAGCAGGCTCTTCACGTCGTACATGATGACTTCATACTGCATTTCTCCATGGTGGCGATAACTCCCTCCTACCTGCCAAACCTGGGAATCCGGCCCCAGTCGAGTTGACATGAGGCGTTCACTGTCACACGTGCCACAGAGCACGTATGTGGATGCAGTATTGGAAGTTTTGTTCCACAGTCAAGTGGGAGACAGTTCAGTATTGGTTTTGGTTTGGTGTTTGGCTTTTCAGTTTTTGAGGGGTTTTTTTATTTTTCAGTTTCTCAGTCAGTTAGGACCTGTGTTTAGCAGCAGCTGCTGGTGACTGTCGGAGTGGTGGACCTGGCTCCTCCCCAGAGACACTGGCCCGTTCTGGAAGCCACAGGAGCTACAGCTGATGGAGACTGTGGCTCCCAGGGACTGTGCTACTTAGGAGCTCAGCCACAAGCTCAGGAGCCCCGGGTGAAGCAAGCAGACCTAGCTCTGCAGAGCTGACCTCTCATCCCATGGCTGTCCCATGCGTCCTGATGACCAGATTGGGCCCAGTGCTGGCTGTGCTAGTGTGGGCTGCCTGGAAGATTGGGGTCAGTGTGGGTACATTCTGTTCCCGGGGACAGAGGACACTTTCTGTCCATCTGGAGGTGTTGGTGAAGCTTGGAGTCAATGAGAGTCCTCTCTTAAGCATGGCACTGTCCCCAGTGCAGAGAACGTGTTCTGTTCACGAAGAAGGTCTCGTGCTGCGAGAGGAGAGCTCAGTGGACCAGGGGTCACTGTCAGAGTAGCTGAGAGAGGCAGTGGTGGTCCCTTCTGTGTGCTGGCCCCGGGAACCTGGCGTTCCCTAGTACTCCAGCATCAGTGGCGGTGAGGGGCTGCTTGGCTCCTGTCTGTTCACGCTGAGGACGTCGTCACCCTTAGAGTCTGGAGGCTCCTGTGCTTACTCCTCATTCTCTCTGATGTGACTTTGTGCGTTTTAGACGACCCGTTTGATCCCGGAACCATCCCAAGAGGAACCGGACCTGCAGACACCGCGGCCCCAGTTCCTAGAGGAAGGAGAGGACCACAGCCGGCGTTCCTACAGGTAGGCATCCCTGTGCTTCTCACCAGTGTTGGGTGTGCTGTGGGGTGTTCCCCTGTGGGAGTATCGGGGACACCGCGGGTGTGCGAGGTCAAAAGGCCTGGCCCAGGTGTGCTGTGCGGTGTTGCCTTGTGTGTGTGTTGGGAGGCACAGCTAGCGTACATGGCAGGGACGCCTGGTTCAGCTACATTCTGTGTCGTTACAACAGTGGTTCCCCTCCCCTCAGCTCTTCGTGTCTCCTTTGCAGGTGTGACTACTGTCACAAAGGGTTCAAGAAGTCCAGCCACCTAAAGCAGCATGTGCGGTCCCACACGGGCGAGAAGCCATACCAGTGCAAGCTCTGCGGGCGAGGCTTTGTCTCCTCGGGGGTCCTGAGGGCGCACGAGAAGACGCACACAGGTAGTTCTCTGTCAAAGCTTGGGAATCCGTGGCAGGGTCACCGTGTAGACCGCACACCGGGCAGTGCAGCCGTCTTCACCCCCCTCCCCACAGAAACCTGCCTGTCTCCCCGGCACCCCACCCGCCTCCACTCCATGACAGACACATTTCCTGTGACGGGCTCCCACAGCGCTGGTCTCCAGTGCTGGCGGGTCTCGTGCGCACACTGTTTTCCAGCCTCACCTGCGCTGTGACACGAATCTAACTTGCAGCTATTTCTGCCATTCTTTGGGCTGTTGTCAGTTCACATGGAAGAGACTGAGCATCCGATAAGAGTTAGTCTTTATGTTGGGAATGTTCTCCCTGGAGGCTGCTAATTTCCATGTACATGCTATGTTAGATCCCGTGTTATTAAAACCACTCTTTTCCTAAAAGTTGGAAACCATAACAAATGAATTGGCTTTAGCTTTGAGCACTGTTGATAAAGCTTTGTTTGCTTTTGAGGGCTTGCAGCTTCAAGCTCTGAAAGCCGGCTTTCCTGGGCCCCTCTGACTCCATGCCTGTGTCCTAGGTGTGAAAGCCTTCAGCTGCAGTATCTGCAACGCCTCCTTCACCACCAACGGCAGCCTCACCAGACACATGGCCACACACATGAGCATGAAACCTTACAAGTGTCCCTTCTGTGAGGAGCGCTTCCGAACCACCGTCCACTGTAAGAAGCACATGACAAAGCAGCATATGTCCCCTGCTGCCGCGCCCAGCACCGGAGAGTCTGAAGGAGGAGGTATTATAGCTTGTGTGGTGGTTCGGGCTGTAAGTAACACTGCCTGGCTCTTAACTACAGCACAGAAAAGCTCAGGGAGAACTGCTGCTCTCAGCAATCACCACGCATCACTACGTTAGCGCCCACTGTGTCCTTTCCATAGGGTATGTGAGGAGCTCCAAAGGCTCCGGGAAAATGGAACTAAATAGATCATGGAATTGTCCCACGAATATATACGCAGCGGCTTCAGAAGGCGTGTGGGAGGAGTAAACTAAAAGATAGTGAAATTGTCCCACTTGAGGGGGCTCAAAGGCTCATGGGAAAATGGAAATAGCTGGTAGTGAACTTTTTCATGTATATGTATGAAGGGATCCAAATGAAACTAAAAGATAATGAAAATGTCATTGGATATATATACACAGGGACTTCAAAAGGCTTATGAGAAAACTGAGCTAAAAATAGTGAAATTTTTCCACGAGCTTTTTGAAGTCCTCTGGTATCACTCTGTAGACGGAGTCCCTGCTTACAGTGGGGCTCCGTTCCCATGACGCCATCTTAGGTGTGCTGTGACGTAAGTTCTTTACAGCTTCATTCTTGTTGCCGTTAATGATCACTGTTGCTGTCCATCATAGCGTCTGCCGGTCACGTGCTGAAACGTAGGCAGGGCATACTACTACCCATACGATGTCCCCCTCCCATCCCCCAGACACCATCTTAAGTGTGCTTTTGTGGTCACTCGTATTTTTTGTAAGTTGGGAACTAGCTGTGTGTACAAGGAAACTTTAAACAGCTTGTGGGAAATGGAAGTAAGAGCTAATAGAATTTTCCCATAAATGTTTAGAAGCCTGCTTTCCCCCCACTTGAGTTTATTACAGACACAGCTGACATTTCTAGACTCAGACTGGCAGCGTTCACATGCTAATGATGCTCCTCGCATGCCCCCCTCCCCTGAGTGTTGCTGTCTCCGAGTCTGGGTGCTGAAACGGCACCTGCTGGCCCCTGTACCAGTACATGAGCGCTTGTGTCCAAGCTCAGCATCAGGGCAGCCTGCGTAATTGATGCAGCATCCGGAGGTTAAGGGAATGTGCTCATTTTGTACATGAATCCACTAAAATGTGTCCACATCCTGTACCAGCTAGGTGTAGTAGGGACGTTAAGATGACTACGTCTGTGCTTAATGTTTTATTTGTTGAGGGTTTTGTTTTAGTAAATTCCAGGAGTGAGGGGACAGCGTCAGGAAGCGTGTCTGCCGCTGGTGCACAGACATGTCTGAGCCGTGTCTTGGCTGTCTCTGCCCCTTGCTTTTCCCTCTGTGTACTCTAGTCCTCTTCCGTGACGGTCACAGTGAGTCCACTCAGCGTCCTGGACTTGTTGCCCCCTGGTACTTACTGTATCATGAATACAACTCTCTCACATTTTGGGCATCATTTCTTAAAATCTGCCCAAACTTCCTTTAAATCATAGCAACTCCATTTTAACTGCTGCCCACTTTGCTTTGCAGAGAAATGTTACAGTTTCTCATCTGTCATACTTCCCTGTCTTAATGCTTTTTCTTCAAAATAATTAGCCTAGGATAGCGATATATTACTTCTAGCACTGCCATTTGGAGTGTGGTAACAAATCCACCAGTGCAAACAATCTTAAAGAATAATCACACGTTCCTTCCCATTAAATAAAGAAAGCTCCCGGTGCCAGGGAATCAGTGCTTTGGGGAGTGGTTTGGGATCTCCTACGGCTTGTCACACCAGCACACATATACGATGGGGCTTCCGAAAGTTTGTGGAGAATGGAATTGATATTCTATTTGAATCCACCTTTATGTATCTTGATCAGTTGACTTGTTGAGGGCAAAAGTTTATCCCGAAAGGTAAGTCATTTGTTAAATTGCTTTGTTTTGCCAAAACCAGGAGACTTTTGTACAAGGACTTCTGCCCCCTCATGTCTCACCATGGCCAAGAGGTGGCTGACTGACACAGACGTTCATTGCTGTGCGTCTTCCCACTGCCCTATTTCCTTTCATGGTTCCTCGACGTGAACTGTCTTCTTGGTTACCTCAGAATCCCTAACACTCAGTTCGGTATTTCTCTCTCTAATCTCCCCGCTCAGCTCTAGCTCTTGCCCAATGTTATTCTTGCCTGTGGCTTTTCCCAAGTCACAAATTATCTTTTCCTGGCAGCCTGCTAGATGGGGACTGGCGCTCCTGGCTCTGCCTTCTTTTCCGTGGCTGGCTTTTTCCTTCTTGTCACCCCAGCGCCTTTCCTGTTTACATTCCCCAAAAACATACCCATGGTCCCTTCTGTTATTTAGTGGGGTGTTTTATTGCTGCTGTTGTTGTTTTTTAAGGTTTGCCAGGCTTTATCATTTCAATTGTAGGTGTTGTCGTTATCCCTGCAGTAATGACTTTTCCCTTCCCGGTCACTACCCTCCTTCTGTTATAATTTAGTAGCATCTTGTTTTGAATAAATGTGAGCAAATACTTCCTTTCCAATGAGAAAAAGATATCTATACATTCCACATACAACAGGTGTTGGGGTCCAGCCTTGACGGGGAAGTGGGTTTCACGAAGTTGGGGGGTCTGGTAGGCGAAAGATGTAAATAGAGACAAAGAGACAATACAGACACAAAGAGACAGACACACAAGTTTGATGCAAGCTGACGGGCAGACAGTTCTGCTGTAGACATTGCACACAAAACTAACTCTAGGTGGGATGTCTGAAGAGGCGAGAGAGAAAGAAACACTCGGAGACCAGAGTGGATACAAGCTGACAGGCAGATAGTCCTGCTGCCAAGAATGCACACAGAACTAGCTAAACCCCAGTCTTTTGTTCTCTCTCTTTAAGGAAGAGATCTTTACAGAAGAAGAATGGGATTATTCAGATAAGACAATGCTTAATGATTCACAGAGACAATCTTTAAGATAATTCCCAAATACATCATGAATTTCTTACTAATCTAACATTTTTATCTCTATAGGGAAAAGTCAAGTAAGCTATTATAGATTAACCTTTAGGCCTATATGACCTAGGGCAGCGACTTGTACTCAAGGATGTCTAACATACTTTTAACATTTAATTACTAGTGGATAAAGGTGAAAGACTTAAAGGCTCATATAAAGGTTAATTTATAATTTCTGAAGGGATTTAAGCTGTTTTTTCTCTGCTTTGCAAATACATGCGTTTGAACAAGATTTCAGACATTCAGCTTTATTTGTTAAACTAGTACTCCTTTCTTCCTTACTGGTTTTAACCTTTCTAATGAAGGTGAGGTTTCACCTCCACCTTCCTTTTCCTCGTTCGGGGTTCCATATCCAAATGCTACAATGTTTACTGTATCCTCAGGGGGAAGAAGAGCATCTGGATCAAAATGATTATACCCAAGGGCAGTTTGAAGGGGCTGCCACCATTGCCCCTTAATCCAGTATTCCCAGAATTTACCACTCCACTTTAAGTGAATACCCTGGGCAGTTCCTCTCCAGCACCTCCTTGCATAATCCCAGCAAACCTGCCCTTGTTCGTCCTGAGTCGTATGAGGAAGTTTTACTGCCTCAGTTCTAGGGGGAAGTTCGGTTTTATTATTGTACATGGACATCAAGAGTTCATGTTTTAAGTTAATATCAAACATAACTGAATAGTTAGATAGGGAGCAGTTCTGACATTCATCCCAGGTGGCTATAGCCTGCTCCTCAAAAAGATTTGCTCCCAGGACCCCACACACTGCCAATACCTTCAAGGCAGTGACATTTACAGTGGAGCCATTAAAAGAGGCATTACGTACATTAACATTTCCCCAAAAGCTACAATTACCAGAGTTAGAAGCATAAAGAACAAGTACAGAATGAACAATATTAAGACTAAAGAGAATTGCACAGAGGTAGCCATCTAGTGATTTCGCAAAAACCTATGAACCCGGGATGTCAGGAGGACACTTCCTTGGCCCTCAGGGTCCATGTGAACCCGGGACATTAGGAGGTCACTTCCTTGGCCCTCAGGGTCCATGGTCCCCGACAAACAGGGGCTTATCCTATAAGTTATGGAAGAATCGAATTAATAGATAAAGGAATTTTTTCACAAACTTTTTGAAGCCCCCCTCCCCTTCCTTTGGAAACCCCTATACAGGGTTGCTATGAAACAGATTCAGAGAGCATCTAAAGAAAATGGAATGAATACACAGAGTCACTGTATCAAAAAGAAATGGTTGATGTTCAACTATTCAAGAGGTAGCATATGAACAAGAGCCAATGATACTGAAGGAAGAAGTCTAAGGTGCATTGAAGGCATTGGCAAAGAACAAGGAATCAGGCACCTATAATATGGAATACAAATTGAAACCTTTCAACAAACTGATGTATCACTGGAGGCACTCACTCATCTATGCCAAGCAATTTGGAAGACATTTACCTGGCCAACTGACTGGAAGAGATCTAGATTTGTGCCCATTCCAAAGAGAGGTAACCCAATGGGATGCCGATGTCACAAACCAGTAAAATTTTTCTAAAGATACTCCACAAATGGCTGCAGCCATACATTGCCAGACAACTTCCAGATGTTCAAGCTGGATTTAGAAGAGAATGTGGAACAAGGGATGTCATTTCTGACATCAGATGGATCTTGGCTGAAGGCAGAGAATACCAGAAAGATGTTTACCGGTGTTTTATTGACTACACAAAGACTTTAATTGTGTGGCTCAAGACAGGCTATTGACAACATTGTGGACAGTTAAGTACTCTAGAATACTTCACTGTGCTCATGAGGAACCTAATACATAGATCAAGAGGCAGTTGTTCAAATGGAACATGGGAACATGGAATGGTTTAGAGTTAGGAAAGTTGTGCAACCAGGACTGTATCCTTTCACCATACTTATTCATTATTATGTGCTGAGCACATAATCCGAGAATCTGGGTTCTATGAAGAAAAACGTGGCATCAAGATTGGAGGAAGGCTCATTAACAACCTGCAATCTGCAGATGGTACAACCTTGCTTGCTGAAAGTGAAGAGGACTTAAAATATTTATTGATGAAAATCAAAGACCACAGACTTCTGTATAGGTTGCATCTCAATGTAAAGAAAACAAAAGCCCTCACCGTATGACCAGTAAACAAAATCCGTGTAAATGGAGAAAAGATTGAAGTTGTCCAAGACTTCATTTTGCTCAGATCAACCAATACTCATGGAAGCAGCAGTCAGGAAATCAAATGACGTATTGCATTAGGCATAATCCTGCTGTATAAGACCTCTTCCAAGTGTTCAAGAGCAGTGAAGTCAGTTTGATGACTAAGGTGTAGTGCCTGACCCTAGCCATGGTATTTTCAATCACCTCATTTCATGTGAAAGTTGGACAGTGAATAAGGAGGATCGTAGAAGAATTGATGCATTTGAGTTAGGGTGTTGGAGGAGAATATGAAAAGTACCATGGACTGCCAAAAAGAACAAACCAATCTGTGTGGGATGAAGTACAGCCGGAGTGCTCCTTGGAAGTCAAGATGGCCAGACTTTGTTTCTCATACTTCAGACATATTATCAGGAGGGACCAGTCGCTGGAGAAGGGTATCATGTTTGGTGAAGTGGAGGGTTGGAGAAAAAGAGGAAGACCCCCAATGAGATTGATTGGCACAGTGGCAGCAGCCGTGGGCTCTGACTTAGCACAATTGTGGAGTTGGCACAGAACTGGTTAGTGTTTCGTTCTCTTGTGCTTTGGGTCTCTATGAGTTGGTATTGACTCAATGGCAGCCAATAACAGTGAGTCTGAACCTACTCAATGGCACTTGATAACAATAGAACACTCATATGTTGTTGTGACCCTGCATAGGGTTTCCAAGGAGTGGATGGTATATTTGAACCGCCAGCCTTGAGGTTCCAACCAATCTTGTGGTCGAATGCGTATCCTACCTACAGCACCACACCAGGACTCTCTCTAGAAATTGAAGTTCTTTTTACTTCCCTATAGTAAGTCTTGTCAATTAGAGCCAATTTGCTAATTTACATTTGACCTTTGTCTTGTGGGTTGCTGACTCAGTAACAGGTTGGCCTTCATCCCTCCCCTGTGTTAATCCAGGGTACATGCTGGATGAGGAGGTGGGCCTGAGTGGGCCCTGCCCCTGTCCAGGCTCACTGTGGGGAATTCCGTGTCCGAGTCTCCAGCTTTTCATATCTGTGCTTTCCGGATCTGCTCACTTTCTCAGCCAAGTAGGGGTGGAGTGGACTACTGTACACAACTCAGTGCACTTACTACTTGGAGCCTTACCTGCTTGTTAGGTAGTATGGTGCTACAGGATAAGCACTTGACTGATAAATGCAAGGTCGGTGTCGCTGTCCTAGGGTTTTTATTGAGCTGTGTCTTTCATCTACAGTTTGTCAGAAGTACAGCTGTTCTCTGTACACTGTGTCTCATCGGGAATCAGGGTTCTCACCACCCGTCCTGTGTGTTTTCTAGAATCGGGGTTCTCACGGACATCTGTGACTCCTCTAGAGTTGGGGTTCTCACTGCACGTCTTGTGTCTCATCTAGAGTCGGGGTTCTACTTGAATGCTCTGTGTCTCATGGAGAATCAGGGCTCTCACCAGATGCTTTGTGTTTCATCTAGAATTGGGGTTCTTACTGGATTTCCTCTGTTTCATCCTCATTTGGGTTCCATTTGCTTCATCTAGAGGTTTACATGGAGGAAGAGGAGGAATGTCCAGAGAGGAGCACATCTAGAAAATCACGTCCTGAGGTCATCACTTTCACTGAGGAAGAAACAGCACAACTGGCCAAAATTCGTCCCCGAGAGAGTGCCACCGTCTCTGAGAAAGTTCTTGTCCAGTCTGCAGCGGAGAAGGACCGCATTAGCGAGATGAAGGACAAGCAGGCGGAACTCGACTCTGAACCGAAATATGCCAACTGCTGCACCTACTGCCCCAAGAGCTTTAAGAAGCCCAGTGACCTGGTCAGGTGAGCTGCCAGACGAGGCACTCGGAATCTATCTGGTGACCTGCAGTGTGGTATTGTAGGTCAGCCAGATGACAGCACCTGTCAGTAACAGGTAGGCAAGGAGAGAGGAAGGTGGCGGCTGGCTGAGTGATGGTGGCAGCGGTCTGCCATGCTCCCCCAGCCACATGCTGAACTCGGGGGCTGTGTGAGTGAGCTGGGGGTTGAGACGCAGCAGGCAGAGGAGAGTGAGCCCGCGGGGTGGGAGCTGGCAGGCCAGGGGGCTCCCTGGAGGTGTTGGGTCTGCGAGGCCAGTCAGGGAGGAAGAGGAGGCAGGGCAGCGTGCTGCAGTGGGAGGAGCTAAAGAACGCTTTGGGTTTTCTTCTCCTGTTAGCCGTCACTTAAAAGACGCTCAGGGCTCTGGTTCTTTGTAGCGTTGCCTCAGAAAATGTCACGGTAAATCGGAATAAACCCAAACACAGGGCAGGAGGCTATGGCTCCAGGCAGGCCCACATTGCTCTCTGAAGTGTGTGCACACGCGTGCCTGAGATGCTGACGTGCAGTGTTGTTCTGCAATCTCGTTTGTGTCTCTGTTCTGATGGCCCATGTTGACGAGTCTTAGGCATCGTTCATGTTCGCCACCCACACATCTCAACAACCCGTGTTGTGTTATGGGGCTGTGCCAACACTAGTACACCAGACCCTGCTGATGGGTAGTGCCGATGGAAGAGAGAACACTGAGTCCCGGATCTGAGCCACGTGCTATAGGGGCGGGCAGGAGAGCTGATACCTTGCAGGGGAGTGACTCTTGTTCCCCTGTCTGCCCCCTGTCCCTCTGTCCGGCTGATGTGTCCCCAGGTCTTTTGGGGCCTTGTGTATGTTCTGTGAATGGCCCTTCTTTCCTACCAGGATTTATAAGAACTTGTTCGATTTTAAAGGAAATTCGACCTATTTTCATTTGTCTTGCAAATACTTTTGTTGTTTTTTATATTGTTTGTGATATTTTTGTTTTTGAAAACAGTGAAGCTTAAAATCTTTTTTGGCCACATTTAATCAGTACTTGGAGTCCTGGTGTAGCGCTCTGAGTTAATCCCCTGGACTACAAAGTCCGTTTGAACTGCAAGGGTGGCAGTTCAAGCTCACCAGCTGCTCCTAGTGCACTGGACTGCAAGGTCAGTGATACAAACTCACCAGCTGCTCCTTAGAAACCCTATACAGGGTGGCTATGAGTTTGGATAGATTTGACGGCACTTAACAGTCAACACACAAACCAAACCCACTGCGGTTGAGTTGATTCGGACCCACAGTGACTCTGGGACAGAGCAGAACCATCCCATAAGAGTTTCCAAAGCTGTCATCTCACGGAAGCAGATTCTCTCCTTGGATGGCTGGTGGGCCTGAACTGCTTCCTGCAGTTAGAAGCTGAGCTTTGCTTAAGCGCTGTTTCACTCACTGTCTGGAAGACACACGTACTGCCATCATGTTGATTCTGGCTCACAGCAGCCCCATGGGCTGAGCCTGTCTCAGTCTCATCCTTGTGGGTTTGAACTGCCAACCTTATGCTAAGTAGCCTAAAGCTTATACCTGCACCTTAATCAACATGATGTTGTTGTTGTTGTTAGGTGCAGTCAAGTTGGTTCATAGTGACCCTGTATAGGGTATCTGAGGAACGGCCGCTGGGTTTTAATTGCCAATCTCATGATTAACTGTGATGTTCTTTACTCAGCAGTGCCACACTAGAACTCCGATATCATAGCACCTGATTTTTATTTATGTGAGTAATTAGCAATGTAAAGTGGTAAGATTGCTTAGGTTTCAAGAAACATTCTTAGCTTGCTAATGCTCTTGCTCAGGCACGTTCGGATCCACACTGGGGAGAAGCCATACAAGTGTGATGAATGCGGGAAGAGCTTCACGGTCAAGTCCACACTCGACTGCCACGTAAAGACACACACAGGTGAACCACACAGGACTTCGCTTAGGGATGCTAAAAATCCCATAACCTGTACGCGTCTTTGTTCCTGCATGGTTTGCAGACAAAAATACTCCTCAAATTATCGAAAGTATCAAGCGTTGTTTAACAGTGGATTTTTAGAGATTGTTCTCAATAATGTTAAGAAAAAGTGATGAGGTCACAAGGTTGCCTTGTTCTCAATACTGTAGTTACAGAGATGGCCTCTGAGCTGCTTGTAGGCTAGACAGAACCAGTTTGTTGTGTTTATGGGGTTTATGGGACTTAGCAAATCTGATTGTAGGCTTAGTGCGTGATTCTTGGGGTACATTCTTATCTTACAAAGCAGAGAGTGAAGGGGCCACACATGGAATACCAACTTGTGCCCTCTCTAGCTCTCCTGCAGTGCTCACTGACCCTGCACACCCCTCCTGACCCTGACCCTGACCCTGACCCTGACCCTACCCCTCCTGCAGGTCAGAAGCTCTTCAGCTGCCATGTCTGCAGCAATGCCTTCTCCACCAAGGGGAGCCTGAAGGTGCACATGCGTCTGCACACGGGCGCCAAGCCCTTCAAGTGCCCGCTCTGTGAACTGCGCTTCCGCACGTCGGGCCGCAGGAAGACACACATGCAGTTCCACTATAGGCCTGACCCCAGGAAGGCCAGGCGGCCGCTGACCCGAAGCTCCTCGGAGGGGCTGCAGCCCGTGAGCATGCTCAGCCCCTCCTCCTCGGACTCCAATGTGTTCATCATGAACAACTCTGTCCTCACCACCAGCCAGTTCGATCCAAATTTGCTTCAACAAGGACTCATGAGCCAGGCAATTCTGCCCGCTTCTGTGTCTGGTGAGTGCTGAGTTGGGGCCGGGGAGGGCGGGCAGCCATGGTAACAGTGCATTGCTTTGTCTGATCCCAGTAATGACCGTGCCCCCCACCCCTCCTGCCCCAGGAGAGTCAGCACAGTGGAATTTCTGCTTCCTGGAGGAGCCTCTCTTCCCCTGCCCTGCTCCCTCCTTCTTGTCTCTGTGTTATTTTGTTTGGCTTTTGTGTTTAGTGAGTGTGCACTCAGAGATGTGGCTCCACATGGGTACTGAGACTTTGTAGGTGCCGTGTTCCTACAGAGCGCGCTCCCTTCGTGCCCCTGTCCGTGGAGTTGGTCCTTCCCCTCCTGTTTTGCACATGCCCCAAGTGACAGTTGTCAGCACCTCTCCTCTATGAATGTGTGACACGGGCTCTAGGAATGTGTGACACGGGCTTCGCCGCCACACCACTTACTGAGGTGGTCTTGGCCCAAAACCATAAGACCTCTGAGGCTTGTCTGTCCTGGGCTTGTCCATTGTCATGGGCTCAAGCTTGGAATGTATTGTAGTTTCCCAGCTGAAGTGTGTCCTGTACAAATGGTGACGGGCTCTGGGAGTCTGGAGGGGACTTTGCCACCATTGTTGGCTGCTGTTGAATTGGCCCACATCCCATCAAGTTCACAATGCTGCTCAGTCTGCTTCTGCTGTGAGCAGTATGGACAAGACCCAGGGGCCCACGGGGCTGGGGTGCTCTCCTCATGGTGAAGTGACTGGCTGGTGCCGACAGGACTCCGCCACTTGATTTAGACCTGGACTGGTCAGTGTCATCCCTCATGACCACTCCTGGCACGTGAGATTCATACTTGTCGTTGAGTGCCATCAAGTGGCTTCCTACTCACAGCAGTTCTGGGTAGAGTTTCTGAGGCTGTAAATGTTTGTGGGAGCAGAAAGCCTCATCTTTTTCATGCAGAACGGCTGGTAGGCTCGAAACACCAGCCTTGTGATTAGCAGTTCGGTACTTATCTTACAGAGCCACCAGGGATCCCTAAAATGGATAGTGGTATTGCCTGTTTCTCTGAGTTTATGTCACGATTCAGTGAGATGATGTGTGTGTATGGTGCAAAGTGGAATTTGGTGTTAACTCACTGCTCTTACTGAGAGAACCTAAAAGCTGACTGACATATATAAGCTTCCCACTAAAAATGAGCTTCTAAACTTCAGAACTCCGCCTTTACTCTTCCCTTCCTCCGCCCAGCTGGCGGGGACTTGACGGTGTCACTGACAGATGGTGGCCTGGCCACCCTCGAGGGTATCCAGTTACAGTTGGCGGCTAACTTGGTTGGACCCAATGTCCAGATCTCTGGGATCGATGCCTCCAGTATCAACAACATCACCTTACAGGTAGGATGCCTGCCACACGGCCCGTGTCCCCAGAGAGGCCCTGTCGCCGATTCTGATGCTGCCCCCTTTTCCTGCAGATCGACCCAAGCCTCCTGCAGCAGTCTCTGCAGCCAGGCCACATGCTGACCCAGCAGCTGGTAGGGGAGCCCAGCCCAACCCCCCAGAGCAGCTCGCTCCAGAGCCCAGACAGCGCCGGCCCAGCCAGTGTGGTCATCCAGCCCATCTCAGGCCTGTCCCTGCAGCCCCCAGTGACCTCGGCGAACCTGACCCTTGGCCCGCTGTCTGAACAGGGTTCCGTGCTGACCAGCAGCAGTGGTGAGGCCCGCACCCTGACCAGCTCGGATGCCCACATTCCCCTCTCTTGCTGGTGGTCACTGTCCTGACCACAGGACAGATGTGGTAGGGTCATGTCCTTGCAAAGTTCAGCAGCTTAGCCCGTGTCCCAGAAGTAAGCGGAGCTGTTAGTGCTGGTGGTGGTTACTCAGCTCCATACACAGGAAACTCCCCTCGTAGACATTCTGGAGATGAAGCAGACCTGCCCGAGGGTCTCCGAGGCCCCATCAGACTGCCTCTGTTGTCTCTGTGGAAGCGGCTGGTGGGCTTGAACTGCTGAGCTTTAGATTGGCAGCACAGCACTTGGCTCTCCGCGCCACCAGGACAGCTGCCTTCCCATCACTGCTGGTGTGTGTGTGCTGGCTTCCTGTGGGCCTTGCAGGCTCGGGGTTGGCGGCATTGTGTCCGTCTCTGTCGTACTGTGCACACACCTTCATCCTTCCTTCCCGCAGGGGCCCCTCACCCCCCCGTGTCTGCTCACAGCCCACGACCGCTTCTTCTAAACTTGCCTCTCTTTTGCTTCTGCTGACAACCAGGGACCCAAGACCTCTCTCAGGTGATGACTCCTCAGGGGCTCGTGTCCACGTCCAGCTGTCCTCACGAGATCACCCTGACCATTAACAACTCCAGCCTCAGCCAAGTGTTGGCCCAGGCAGCCGGCTCTTCCGCGGCCACGTCGTCCGGCTCCCCGCAAGAGATCACCCTCACTATATCAGGTCTTGAGCTGCCTGGGGCCTGTCACTTCGGGAGGGCCAGAGTCTTCATGGACGGGTGTGCCCACAGGGGCGGGAGTTCCACATCCAGGGAGAGCTCAGTGCTGTCAGCATCCACAGGATGTTGTGATTTTGATGTGGCTCGTAAGGCTCATTGGAGGAGAAAACATGGAATTCTGTCGCCTGCCTGCACTTGGGCTCACTGTTTCCCGTGTCCTCGCTTCTCACCTGTGGACACTGAGGGCTGGCCTCTGAGGTGTCCCACGTGAAAAGGGCTGTGGAGGAGCACTTAGGGCATGCCCCTGGCGATCCCAGGGAACCTGCGTCCTTTTGTAGGATGTTCCGTTTTCCCACGAGCAGTGCTTGTGAACACTGGAGAATGCAAATGCAGCTTCAGTTCCATAGACTTTTACAGTTAATGGGTACCAGTGTTTTCCGGGAATCAAGAACACACCACTATGTAGAGGGCAAAGGTCATTCTCAGGACCGCTCACCCAGGGGTCTCGTGACTCGGTGGGACACCATTCAGAGTGCATGGCCTGCCCACGCTGAGCACCGCTCTACGAACCTTTGACCACTTGCAGCCCCCTCATTCCACAGACGTGCAGTGGCGCATCACAGCGCACACGGGCCCTTACTACAACTAGGGTACTACTGCCCGCCTGCTACTAAAAACACAAGCTGTGAGCGTGGATGCTGTTCTGAGTTGAACACACTTCCTAATTTCCACATAGGTCAAGATCTCATTCAACACAATTCTAATGGAAGTAGTGAGCTGAACGGAAGCCTGCGGTTGTCTGCACCGTCCATCAACAGCCCATCCACAGGCGCCACCTTAACGATCAGCAACGATCAGCTTCTCTCCCAGAGCGCAGCATTGAACTCTTCAGGTATGCCGCTGACCATGGCATCAGGAGAGGTGTCCACGGTGCCCTAGTTTCGACCACTGCAGACAGAGTTGTCTGGGCAGGCGTGAAGCCTTGTCCTCTCACACCTAATGCATGCCTCCTGCGCGCACCGTTCTGGGCTGCCAAATCCTCTCGGGGGTGTCAGCCAGTTCCTAACCTTACCTTGTGTGGGACACGGGGTGTGTGCCGTGGGCGGTGTGCTGTGGGCAGAGCTGCTCTGTCTGGCCCAGTGTTGATGCTGTGCCCTGTGTCCTGCAGGATCAGCTTTCTGCCACCAGCTGGCATCAGAGGGACAGATTCAAAGAAGGCAGCTATCTAAGGCTTTGAGGTAGAGCCAACTCATATCAGAAAGAAACTGCTGCTTGGCAGACAAGCTCAGATGCATAAGAAAGAGTTCAACATCTGCCTATCTTTGTAGAGTCCGTTCATCTCTCTGGCCTTTCTGTTTCCATTTTTTGAGATAAAAATATAAATGCTCAGGTACTTGTTCCTAAAATGAGACTTGAAACATGGCTTAATGGAGTTAAGGGACACGTGTTCTTCCTCAGCTGAACCCTGTAGCACCCACTGTGGGTGGATGGGATGGTACTAAGCTTGGGAGCTACTAGGTCCCTTGCACTTTGGATCTTAGATGTGAGCAGGGTGCAGGTGTCGGTGGGCGACTCCCATGACTGGGTGTGAACTGCAGCTGAAGCCCTGTGTGAAAGAGGAAGCCTGGTGCCCACTGTGAGCATCGTGGGTGCTGGGTGGGCAATGGGACCACAGTGACCCCGGGGGGAGCTTTTGCTGAGTAAGAGCAGGTCAGAGGACGGAGCTGGGATCTGAGGACAGTGTTTCCCTTGGCCTTAGGGATGACTCTGTCCCCTGTCGCTGGTGACCACTCCTGCCCTCCACTGTCCCATCATGTCTGTGCTGTACTACGATGGCCCACCCCATCCCTCTGTTGGTTTAAATGCTTCAATCTGGACCTAGAACATCATCCTTTTTTGTTATACTTTCCAACTGAGCAGAATTTTGCTTTACTTTTTGACTGATACAGGCTGGTCCTCTGTGGGTCAGCTGTCCAGTGTAGATCCCACACCATTTAAGTTGCACAGTGGACATTTCAGCACAGCCTGGACACCTGCTCACCCTCTCTAGAATCCTGACCCTTATCTCCGAGCCTGCTGAACAGGAGTTTAACAACTCTGTGTGGGGAGTTCAGGGAACCTCTGCCTGCTTACGGAAGACTGAAGTAGCGGTCCCAGGATCCTGGGGCTTCCAGGAGGCCCTCTGGACTCCTTGGCCAGTGAACGGAGGAGGGAGTGGAGGGCAGTCAGTTCCCTGGGCTGCGGGGTGAACGTGGAGGTGACCTGTTCTGGTCAGATGGAGAAGTGGAAGAATGAGAACGTGTCGACGCCGAGGCTATGGTGCTGCAGTGGTTAAAGCACTCGGTACTAACCGAGAGGTGGGCAGTTCAAACCCACTTGCTTTGTGGGGAAAGATGAGGCGATCTGCTCCCATGAAGACTTACAGTCTGGGAGTCCCCTTGGGGCAGAATCAGTGCTACAGCAGGTCCGAGGGCAGGAGGGTCCTGCTGACATTGCGGGCACAGTGGGGGAGACACGGGTTCATTTTCTCCGAGGTTTTGGCTGTCTGATGACCCGAATGGGGTTATAGAATTGGGGTGAGTCTCATGTCAGCATCGCATTCTGTCTGTACCCACGGGGCTCTTCATGATGCCCTGAGCATTCCGGAGAAGGCTGCTGCTCCCTCAGGCCATGTGCTGTCTTCTGCTTAGACTTTTAAACAATTTGTTACCAGCTCCTTGAACGAGCACTCTTACTTTTCAGTGTAATTTAGTTGATCTCACCTGTTAAGTATTTTGAAGCTTTGTCTCAGGGATTGGATAAGACTGTAAAGGAAAAGATCCTCTGCTAATTACAGAAGCTTTGTGCATTGTTAATGTTACACCGAGTCTCCTTAGGTACAGTTTGTGCTCTGTTCTCCGATTCCTCCAGTACCTTGGTATAGGAAGAGCGCTCACCTGTGAAGCCACTTGCTTCCTCACCAGCTCTGTGCGTCCCCATCCCGGTAGGAACTTCCATGGGTGGTCCACACCGGGAAGACTTGACACTGAGGGGCACCATTTTGAAATGATAAAGAAACACGATGAGGCTTCCTACTTCTGAAACCTGGCCGGATTATAATGCAGTTTTCTTAGAAGCTGCCAACCTTATTCAAGCAGAGATTTCAGGCAGCGTTGTGTTTGAGAAGCATGTCACGTTTGTTTTTTAATCCTTTAAAGAGGGCTTTCTTAGGGGTGCCCACCAAAGGACATGGATAATCCCACTTGAAGCCTGTTGTTTGCCAGCTGGGTGCTGCTACCAGGAGAAGGTCTGCCTGTGTCCTGCGCTGCCCGGAGGCCGTCCTTTCCTCATTAGGGGGATGTCCAGTGTAGTTCTATGGCGATGTCTGGTAAAGACTCCTGCGTGGTCAAGCAGGCAGGTTGGCGTTTACAGGGTTGAGTGAGGGCCGTCCTCGCTCCGTGGGTACTGAGTTGGGAGAGTGTGTGGACCTTGGCAGTCACAGATGTCCCCAGTGTGGCTGGGCTGTGTGGTACTGGCTTTCTCTAGACTCTGGTTAAGAAACAACCGTGTAACTGCTGGCAACCTTTCAGGCCTGGAAGAAAACTCGTCCCCAGCCAACAATAGACAGGTCTGTAGGGGGACAGTGGTATCAGAGAGGGACAGGTTCATGGGAAAAGTCAACCACACTGGACCCAAGGGCAGCCTCTGCCCTGGGAGGAAGGTGGGGGAGAGGACGCGGTCAGTGGAAGGCTTTAGTTACGTTGTGTAGGTTGCAGGCAAAAGGTCACGAGCCAAAATGTCTATGAATTGTGAAATGAAACCCAAAGTTAAAAAGGCCTATGGAACTCGGGCGAGTTCCATCGGTGTGCCAGACTGGAGGATTTCCAGGGTGCAGTTTTGCAGGCTGATGCAGTGTGGGCCCCTGCCGAGCACGGTGAAAAGACACCGTTCTTTGTCTTCCCACTGACCTCTTCTCATCTCTCTTGTAGACCTCACAGCTGCCCCAGGGAGCCTGCCTTCTACTACACCCATGTCTCCATCCACCATAGCCACACAGAACCTGGTCATGGCATCGTCTGGGGTGGGAGGTGACGCCAGCGTCACGCTTACGCTGGCCGACACTCAGGGCATGCTCTCCGGAGGCCTGGACACGGTGACACTGAACATCACCTCACAGGTGAGGGCAGGCAGCCCACCCAGACTCACACATTTACTCACCTCCCTTCAGGTTCTGGCCTTAGCTGGAGTGGGCTCCGAAGCCCTGATGCATGCTGGGTAAAGAGCACCTTGCGTGCCCCTCCAGGATCGTTTTGTTTTTCAAAGACTGGTTTCCATTTCATTTGCTGTCTTAGGCTGGGATCTCTAAAGAAGCAAAACCTGTGAAATTTCTATGTGTATGTACATATCAAGAGTAGTATAGATCAAGAAAATGACTCACAACTGTAGAAGAGAAAGAGCCCCAGCTCTGGGTCAGATGAAGCAAGATCGGCAGGCAGGCAGGTCAGAAGGCAGCCTGCTGACGGCTCCCAGGATCGGTAGGTAATAGAGCAGACCTCTGGCTCAAGTCCAGAGAATTGGAGGTTGGAAGACAAGACCTAGCAGAAAGCCAACGAGCTTTGCCTGCGTGTCCAGTGTATCAGAAGCAGGCCACAGCTCCGAGGAAACATCCTTTCAATGGATTGACTGCTCATAGTCAATAATAGCATTAACTACACTGAGCTCACCGTGTGACTCGAACCACATCTCAGCCGCCAAACCACTGGGAATCCTGGCTCAGTCAAGGGGACACAAAACCGTTCCTTTCACACAGTCAGGGTCCTGATGGACAGCGCATGGAGTCACTGAGGGCTTTCTAAGGGGAACAGTAACCCGAAGGAGGTATGCACGCATTCGAATCACCATTCATTTGAGGTCAGCAGGGTGAGGTCAAGGACAAAGTTCGGAAAGGTTAGGAAGAAGGAGGAGTAGAGGCAGGAGACGAGGAGGAAGGAGAGTGCTGTCACCGAGATCAGATGTGTGTGAGTGGTTGAATGGAAGCTGATCTGCTCGGTGAATTCTCACCCAGTCCACAATGAAAAGAAAAACAGAAACATTCCAAACAAACCAGTGACTTTATTGGTGGCTCTGCTGATGACTCGCATGGTATCATGTCTTGAGCTAGAGTCCTAAATTACAGGAAGAACTTTTAACAGTCTCCCTAATGGTAGGGGTGTGGTTGTAGCTGGTAGCCAGCCAGCCGCCTCCGTGTGCGCATTGATCCAGAGGTGATGTTCTCTCTGTATGGCACCGTGGGCCGCTGAGATGCCTTCCTACTGAGCCCAATGTTTGTGACGTCTGTTCCCGCTTCAGTAGGACCAGCATCCACTGCTTGCTTAGGCCACCTTTGTTTAGCTTTTCATGAATGAAGAATTTGACTTGTTTTCATGTTTTAAGATAAAGCTACCATGAACATGCGTCTCTGGTTTGCATATGCATGTGAGTGTTCATGGGGAACAGTACTTAAGGGTGGGCTTCCTGGCTGTCCAGTAGTTCTCAGGAGCCCTGGGAGCCCCGTGATTGATGTGCACAGGTGCTCCCCTCCACAGGAGTAAGGTGAGATGGTCTGCTTTCATAAAGATGACAGCCGTGGACACCCGGTGTGCCTCTCCACTCTGTTCCTCAGGGTCTCTGTGAGTGGGAATAGACCCCATGGTAGTGGGTTGGCTTTCTTTTGGGTGGTAATTCTTTGTTTAACTTTTTGAGGAACTGCTAAGCTGTTTTCCACAGTGGCTGGGCTGTACAAAATCTTTTTATATTATTAGCTGATGTGATGGCTTCTGAAGACAGTGGTGTTCTCTGTCTAGGGCCAGCAGTTCCCGGCCTTGCTCACAGACCCATCGCTCTCGGGCCCGGGCGGTGCAGGCTCCCCGCAAGTGATCCTGGTGAGCCACACACCGCACACAGCCTCAGCGGGCTGTGAAGAGCTGGCGTACCAGGTGAGTGTTGGTACCTCATATAGCATTCTGCTTTCTGTGTTTATTAACTCGTTAATGAGTGATTTTATCCTAGCAGAGAAATCGCATACTCTGATTCATTTCTTAGCTAGGATTTTTTTTTTTCTTCATCTTCAAACTGTTAGTTAACGTTTTCATTACGTGGGTCTGTTCTGAGCTGTTTCTTGTTCATCGCTAAGTAGTTGAGTTCTGGTGCAGATGCTGGAGAGAGCTGAGATGATGAGCAGACATACTATCATCAGGAAGCCACACGCATGTGAAGGAAGGCCTCACAGGGGGCTGGAGGGCGGGTACTGTGACCCTGGTGGAGAGGGGTTGCCACTGACTCTGGTGAGGGCTGTGACCATATAACTGACTCCAGTATGAACTCACAAGTGGGACTGAGTGTGAGGTCATGGGTGTGACTCAGCACATCGTTGTGACAGGACATGAGGTCATGGATGTGACTCTGTGAACATAAGGGTGTGACTGGGCATGCAGTCATGGGTATGACTCTATGTGAGGTCATGGTGTGACTGTGTGTTAATGCACAGTTGTGACCGAGTGTCATGTGACTGCATGTGAACACGTGGGTCTGAATTATACATGTGAAGCCATGGTGTGACTCGGTGTGAATGCTCAGATGGGACAGAATGAATTCACCATGTGGATGTGTGAACACATGGATGTGACTTTATATGAGGCCACAATGTGACTGTGAACACATAGGTGTACCTGGACATGAGGTCATGGTGTACCTGCATGTAAATACACAGCTGTGACTACATGTGTGATCACAGTGTGATTGTGGCCATACAGGTATGATTGTACATGTGAGGGCATGATGTGATGTCTGTGAACACAGGTGTGAATACATAGGTGGGAAGTCATTGTGTAGTGTATATAAACACATGGGTTTGTCTACATGAAGTCACGTTGTGACTGCATGTGAACATGGTGTGTCTGTATGGTGATAGTGTGACTGAACATGTGGGTTGTGACATGAGGTCATGGTGTGGCCGCTTGGGTTGTGGTTGTGCATGCATGATCATGGTGTGACTACATGTGAACACAGGTCAGGGTATCAGTTCACAAATGTTACTGCATGTGACTACCTGGTTGTGGCTGTTGCTGTGTGGTCATGATGTCACTGTATTAACACATGGCTGGTGGTGTGAATCTGCATCGTGAATGCACGGTGTGAGTACTTGTGAGGTTATGGTGTGACTTAACACTGGTGATGGTGTGAATTCACAGTACGACTGTGAACACTCATTGTGATTGTTCATGTGAGGTTATGGTGTGACTGAATAAAGAGTTGTGGCTACACATGAAGTCATGGTGTGACAATATGAGTGTGACCGTACATGTGTGGTCATGGTGTGACTTAACATATGGGTGATGGCATGCATTTGCAATAAGACTGCATGTGAATGCATGGTGTGGGTGTACATGTGTGGTCATGGTGTGACTGTTAACACTCAGGTGATGGAGGGAGTTCTAAGTGAGATTGCATGTGAATGTGTGGTGTGACTGGACTGGACACAGTGTAACTACTTGCGGGTTCATGGTGTGACTGCACATGAACATACGAATGTGGCTGTACATGTGTGCTCATGGTGTGACTGTGTGTTAAGACACAGGTGATGACATGAACTGCCAGTGTGACTGCATGTGACCCCGTGGTGTGAGGTCACCATGTTCTGTCTTTGGTCCAGGTGACGGATGTCTCTGCGAACCTGACCCAGGGGAGCCCACCCGAGCAGGAGGGCCGGGCCCACCAGTGCCTGGAGTGTAGCCGTGCCTTCTCATCGGCGGCCCTGCTGCTGCAGCACAGTAAGGAGGCGCATGGACGTGAGCGCATTCACGCCTGCCAGCTCTGCAGCAAGGCCTTTAAGCGGGCCACGCACCTCAAGGTACTGCGTCCCCTGCTTGTCTGGGAAGGTCTTGGACCAAGACTGAGCTGATGGCATTGTTGCACGTGTTGAATGTTCACAGTCACGTTAGAATGTGTGTGAGGAGGGTGAAGCCACACTGAGGCACTAGTTCTCTGTCAGACTGGTGAGACATGCAAACCGCAGCCACCAGATATTGGCAAGTCACTGGGGAGGGTGTGGATGTGTGCAGCTGTCTGTGGGGGTGAGGGTGACACCCATGAAACTAGACCGAGCCTTGCCTGTGTCCCCCCCTTGACCACCTTGAATAGGGTGACCACAGGCAGCACAAGGCAGTCACTGAACTCCAGAAACTCCCCACGTTCGAGGGAGCGCTCATCTAGAGGAAGCCTGAATAGCCCTGTGTATCAGTTCCCACAGAAAGCTCTAGGCCCACATGGTTTCTCTGGAGAATTCTCCAGATTCCTGAAGCAGAGTTAAGACCAATTCTGCGCCTTCTCTCTCAAACTGGAAGACGGGATGCTTCCCAGTTCCCCTCATAAGGCCGGTGTTACCTGGACCTCAAACCCAGAGACAGTACAGAGACTGAGACCTACAGACAACGGGCTCTGTATTTTGCGATAACTAGATTCACATGCAGCTGAAAGAAATGGTACAGAGAGACCCCATGCCCCCTTGTCTCAGATGACCCAACGTCATGACTAAGGAAACAGCATACCAGTAACAGTGGCAGGGTGGTAACCGGCCCCACCGCTGCAGCTGGCCTCGTCCTTTTCACCATTTCTGAATGGTGGTCTTTTCAAGGGCCGTAGGCACGTGTTTTCCACGGTTGGGCTCATCGGAAGTGGCCGTGGATGCGGTGGGTTCTTTAGCAAGACCCACTTTTGAATCCCACTTTGTCCGCCCCAGGTGACCGGGCCACCCCTCAGCTCCCTTGGTCGGGGCAGTGAAGTTCGTTCATTTGTGGCTCATGTGGGATCCTTCTGCTGCTATTATTAAGTGCCTCGCTTGTTGTTGTTGTTAAGTGACGTTGAGTCAGTTCCGACTCATAGTGACCCTGTACAGGGTTCCCATGGAACGGCTGATGGGTTAGAACTGTTGACCTTGTGATTTATGGTTACCAGTTCAGTGCTTAACCTTCAGCACCACACCTGGACTCTTCACATATCTGCTGTCATTTCATGAAAACGCAAACCGGAGAGCCCTGCGTGCATGCCCCTGTCACTGCCTTGATTTATTAGGGAGGAGTCCTGGGGTAGCGCTGTGGGTTAATGCGCCAGACTGCAAAGCCGTTGGAACTACAAGGTCGGTGGTTCAAGCTCACCAATTGCTCCTTGGAAACCCTATAAGGGTTGCTATGGGTCGGAACCGACTCGAGGGTGCTTAACAACAACGTGTCCCTTGGCTGTTTCCCACGTGTGCTGCCCACTGTATCTCACTGTCCTGTGCTGTGTCCCACAGGAGCACATGCAGACTCACCAGGCCGGCCCGTCCCTGAGCTCCCAGAAGCCGAGGGTGTTCAAGTGCGACACCTGTGAGAAGGCCTTTGCCAAGCCGAGCCAGCTAGAGAGGCATAGCCGCATCCACACAGGTAGGGGGAGCATGGCTTTGCCCATGCTCACTGACACGGGCTGAGGGGCGCTGAGAGTGCGGCTGTGGGGGCTGAGGGCGGCTGAGAGTGCGGCTGTGGGGGATGAGGGGGCTC